CTCTGTTGCAGCCCATTCCCCCCCCCCGCCCCAAAGCTGAACTGCTCAGTGCTGGTGCAACAGCCCATCCTCAAATCACAGAAGTTAACCCCAGTATGGCAGAGCCAGGACAAACAAACATTCACATATTGAGAAAGAAAAGCTGCTTCCCCCCACCCTTATTCAGGCAGAGCTAAAGCAGAACAGAAACAGAGTCCTAGTTCCCAGCACTGGGCTTCGATAATGCTGTCGAAAGCGATTTGCTTCCTAGCAAGACAGTCATGAGCAGCAAGATGGTGCATTTAAATGCCAGCTATTGCATCCTAAGAGCCCGATTTGGACTCCCTTGCAGTATATAATGTGTAAATGCAGGGAAAAAGATAGCTCTTGCCCCAAACAGTTTACAATCTAATTAGAAGATACAAGATAGATCATTCCTTTGTACGCCCCTCTGAGCCAATGTGGATCAGATGTCAGACAGTCTTCAGCACTTGAGAACTGAGGTAGCTTGGGTAAAGTGCTTGTGATTATGAACATGTGCCAACTCCAGCAATCCACGTGAATCCTTAACTCTTTCAGAGCTCGCTGAAAGGGCCTGACCTGTCTACACAGCCCAAGATTAGCCCTTCCACAATAAGAATCCCCCCCCACACTTTTTTTAAGTTTACTTTGGAAACAGAATAACCTAAGCTGTATGAACACATGTTTAGAGCAGAATAAAGGTGCCCACTCCTGGCATAACTGCAGAACAGCTACTGCACTTTAAATGTGAACACTGGCTTATTTTTCAGTAGTTTCTCCAGACAGACAAGCCTTGAAAATATGCATATGCTCATGCCTTCTTCCAATAAAGGAAGGCATAAAATGGCCAATGAAGTTATTCCTTAGACAGATTTCTCCAGGAATAACCATAGAAAGCAGATCTGATGAAGGAGAAGAGGAAGAAAGCAGTGCTGCTGTTAATTGATACATTAAGCACTATGGTAATGAGCAGGCTAGAAACAGGTTAAGATGAGACAGAGCTATTTGCTAGCCATCTGCAAACATATCCTAATAGGAAGCCCCAGACAGAACGGCTGAAATGCAAGGAAAGTGGAAAGCCTGTCACAGGAGCATCTCAAATAAATCAGCACACTTTAAAATGATGCATCCTTGTGTTTCTACACATGCACACACACAATAGGCTTCAAGGCTTGCAAAAACACTCACGCAGTTCAGACACAGGCATCAAATTGATTCTTGAAGATAAGCAGAGGAAGTAGTCTGGCTTCTACTCTCTTCAGGTTTGGGCTTCTGAAGTTTACAGTGAGTTCAAATATAATCTTTGTTAAAACCATCAAAAAATGAACTTGCAGCTCGTGCAGCACTTCTATTGGAGTGCTCCCAAAGCCTCTTCAAAATAAATGTTATCAGTTATCACCCCTTTGTGAAAGAAGCGTCTGGAGAATTTTCCTAATGAAATGGGGTTGGTTTATCTGGGATTGGTGGTGGTGCTTAGCTGAAGACTCAGGAGAAGCAAATCCTCCAACCTGCTGAAGCCATGATGGGGCTTCTCCTCTGTGATCCTGACACTCCTACAGTTCCTTTAGGCCAGGGGTGAATGGCCACACTGAGGATTGCTGGTGTAGAAGCAGCCAATGGGGACCAACATTTCTGGCAGGTCTGCCAGGAATTAGCGCTGCACCCTCCTCTTTGATCCCCTTCAGCCCAATCTGCTACTCTGCTTTCTGTTGCCTACTCCGTGCTCTCTACCTGAGCTCCTCTGCTTTCTGCTTCCTGCCCTGTGCTCCCTGTCTGATCTCCTGCTTTACTTTCTGCTTCTGCCGTATACACCGCAGTGCTGCCTGTGAAAATGAGGCTCATTTACAAATTAGTGAAGGGGGCAGAGCTCATAGAAACCATAGAAGAGTAAGGCTGAAAGGGACCTCCAGAGGTCATCTAGGCCTAAATGCCACCAGAGGCAGGATCAGCCCTCTCCCAACCACCCTACAAAAATCCACAGTCCAACCTCTTAGCAAAACTATTCAGTCAACCCTCACGACCAAAAGACCCTGCCACAGATAAACCAGGGAACAACAGCAGCCAGTGTCTGGTTGCTGCAGAGGTTGTTAAAATGTGCTTGAGAGATCCCAGGAAGAGGGTCTTGCCCTTCACTACAGGAGGAAGACAAAAACCTCCACCGTTCATACCAAGCTGACCATGGGGTAAAATTCCTTCCAGACTCCAAATCTGACAGTCAGTCAGACCCTGAGCAGAGGGCAAGAGCCTCTAGCCAGGAACCGCCAGGCACAAGTCCCAGCAGGAACAGTGGCACACCCCGGTCACAATCCTGAGCCTTGGCTGCAGCAGCCTTCATATTGCAAAGAGGGTGGGACAGCGAGGGAAGAAAAGGTCTTGTGAACAAATGTTTAAAGGATTAAGACCAAATTCAATTCATATATGGATTAAAGCAGACGCACAAACACAAAGCAGTGATGTATTGACTTCCTGGAGTTCCTGGAATTCTCCTCCCACCCCTGCAGCGGCCAGGCCAGGGGAAGTGTGCACTTGGGCACACCCCCGGTTTCAACACCAGGATGTAAACAAACATTTCTCTCTGTGTCGGACAGAAATGCTATGAAAGATAACTGAATCTATTTCCATACTACTATACATTTTACTGATAAAAACACAGTCACTTGGCATGCAGTTGAACATGGCTCACTTCTATATTTAGGCTGTTGCTACTGAAGACAACTTGGAATACACCTCTTGGGCAAATAAATCTTGTTGCATCTGTCATCCCCAGCTACTTTAGACACTGACAAGTTACAGACATGCATCCTTCAAACAACAGTAAAAGGCAGCCACATCTGGGTGCAATACAGCATTTCTAAATATTTAGAAAGGGAAGTGAGTGTTTCTGTCCAACTGAAATGCCACAGAAAACGTAAGCAGACCAGCTGTAGCTGCTCGTGGTGGAATTTGGCCAGGGCACCAAAGTTAACATCCCATGTCTCTCGGTGTGCCAATGAGCCTAATGACCAGGAGTGTTCAGCATCTCTGTTTTACCCGACCGCAACCTCTGCTAGCACAATTCCAGTCACACCAGGATGAGACATTGTTTTAGATTTGACGGACAACCACCACCCAGAGAACTGCCAACCTCAGTTTGTCACAACCAGTTTTTTATTGCAGTACTTGTTAGCTTTTCACCAGTAAGAGAAGAGGTGACAGCCAGAGGTGGTGGGGCAGCAGGTCAGATTTACAAACTTTATTAGTGATTTTTTTTTTTTTTTTTTTT